TTATATTCCATCAAGACTTCTTATGCATCATGTCCTCCAATTCCCTTTAGCTTTTGGAATGGACGTTAAACATACTCAAGATTTCTTCACCTACTTTACAGGACTATCCCTAGAAGGATTCTTTCCAAGTCTTACAAACTCTTGTTTTCTTATATCAGATATGTGGTTGGAAAAAGGGAGAGTTGTATTTTCTTTTGCTCCAAATCCCCTTTCATCCTTTAAAATGCTCAAACTCCCAATTGAATTAGCCACCAACACATTCTTCCTATCCTCCTTCATGTTCTCCTCAAAGTGATTATGTAAGTTGCGAATCATAGTACCATTATCTTCTCCGCTTCGATATTGTAGTTGTAGCTCGACTGCTTAAACTCACTTTCAGGTTATCACATCTTTAAGGCCCCAATGCCCCATTTTCTCCTTACTTGGGGACATGACCTATGAACTTCATTCGACCTTCCATTAAAGGTGGTTTCCATTAGCCTTACGGTGAAGTTTTATCCTACATAGGGCCTTCCTCCGGATTTCTCCAAATCTTCATTTTATTATATTCCTATTGTTACTACTATTAATATCTTTTCATATTTGTTCAAACCAACACAAAAGTTAGTAGTTTTAAAACAATATTTATAAGCTATTGTAGTTTTTGCTTGTGCGGGTGTGTTAGTTTTTGTCTTATTTAGTGTAGGTTACCTTTTTGATTTGTTTGTCTCTTTTGAGTTCAATGCTCTAGTTGGTGTTTTGCTTAAATTGAGACTTTTCAATTTTAGTTTTGTGTGTTTGTTTAAATACTTACTAAATAGTTTTATTTTGTTTTAATTTCTATACATCATTTTAGTGTCAATAAAATCATCAGAAAAGCATTATGTTGATGATGTAGTTGAAATTAAAGGTGAGCTACAAAGTGACGTTCTATGGTCAGACAAAAATGAAGCATTATTTATTGATTTAATAGATGAAGCAGTTAAAAAGGTCAATCGATGAACTATAACATTTACAAAATCAGGTTGGAATTATATGAGAAACCAATTAAATACTAGTACAAGATGTGCTTATACTGATGTCCAGCTGAAAAATAAGTTTTACAAATTAAGACAAATTTACAAGGACTGAAAGAAGTTATTGAGTGATATAATTGGAAAATGGGTGGGATCTGTTATTGGGCACTATCACTTTTGAAAAAGAGCAATGAAATGATCTTTTTAAGGTAAAAATAAATTAAAGTACTTTTTTCGTGCAACCTATTTGAATTATGGTTTATTCATATATTGATGTGCAATTTCTTATAGGTGAATAGTCTAAGAAGTTTAAGAAAAATGGTGAAAACATAGGGAGATAAAATTAGGGTTTGATTTATTAACAATTGAGTTGTATTGAAATACACAGTATGATGCTTCTATAAGTCGTTAACCTTAAATAAAAAAAAGACTAATCTACCCTCAAAGATAAATAATAATAATGACAAAAATATTAATGATAACATTCCCCCGCAAACTCACGATGCTACAACGATAAGCATTGAGAGTTTGTAAAATAAATAACGAAAGTGCGAAGCGGAGTGTGCCTTGGTAAACATATCAACAATTTGTAGAGATGAAGGAACAAAAGGCAATGTAATAGAGCTATGCTGGAGATGATGGTGAGTTACATGACAATCAATCTCAATATGCTTGGTTCACTCATGAAAAATTGAATTGCGCGCAATCTGAATAGCACTCTGGTTGTCACAATGTAAGAGAGTAGGACGACGAAGATAGACACCCATATCTGCAAGTAGCCAACTTAACCAAGCAATTTCACAAGTGGTCGAGGCCATGGCACGATACTCAGCTTCTATAGAAGACCTAAAAATAACATCTTGTTTCTTACTCTTCCATAAAATAAGTGAATTACCAAGGAAAATACAGAATCCAGTGGTTGACTTACGATCAGTAGGATCACCAGCCCAATTAGCATCAGAGTAAGCGCACAACTCTAAAGAGGACGTGGCGGGAAGCAAGAGGCTCTGAAACTGAGTGCCCCGAAGGTACCTGAGAATACGAAGAACAGCAGACCAATGAACTGTAGTAGAAGTAGTGACAAACTGACTAAACACATGAACAACGTGTGCAATGTCTGGACGAGTCACGGTTAGATAGACCAAACTACCAACAATAGTACGATACAAACTGGAATCTGATAAAGGAACACCATCTGACGAAGAATATCGGGCATTGGGCTCTAAAGGAGTACCAACCATCCTGTTGTTACTAAGACGCGCTTGATCAAAAAAATCAGCTATATACTTTGACTGAGATAAGAGATAACCTTTTGGAGAATAAGCGACCTCAATACTAAGAAAATAGCGCAGCATGCCTAAGTCTTTCATAGCAAAACAACGAGAGAGATCAGACTTTAAAGATTCTATTCCATCATAATCATCACCAGTAATGATCATGTCATCAACGTACAGTGACAACAAAATACGACCTACACTTGTACAGTTAACAAACAATGCGGAATCATGATGACTAGAGATAAAACCGAGTGAAGTAACAAATGTGGAGAACTTCTCAAACCTAGCACGAGGTGCTTGTTTAAGCCTATAAAGTGCTTTAGGAAGCCTACAAACTTCACCAGGTTTGTGAGCAACACCAGGAGGAGGAATCATATAAACTTCTTCATGAAAGTCACCATTCAAAAAAACATTCTTGACATCTATCTGATATATTCTCCATCAGCGAACAGAAGTCACTATGATCATAGTGCGGATAGTAGTCATTTTTGCAACAGGAACAAATGTTTCTTCATAATCCATGCCATACTCTTGAGAGTAACCTTTAGGAACAAGTCGAGCTTCGTATCATTCAATAGATCCATCAGATTTAGTTTTAATCTTATAGACCCAACGAGAGCCAATAGTACATTTTTCAGATGGTAGAGGTACGAAATCACATGTATGAGTCTGATGTAAAGCAGTAAGTTCCTTAGCCATAGCATTCTGCCAAAGTGGATCACAAACAGCCTCTTTAAAAGATGAAGGTTCAGAGAGATGATAAATTGAAGTAACAAAAGAAGCAAAAGAGCTAGAATAAGAGGAATATGCAAAATCTGGTAGTTTAGTGGACTTACAAACTCGAATGGATCGACGAAGTGGAGGAGCATCCGCGACCTCAAGAGATGATTGAGCAGCCATAGGAAGCAGAGAATGAGATGTGAATTTGTCAATAATCAAAGTACCAGAGTCTATTGAGCTATCAGAAGGGGCAGCCGGAGTAATGGATGAAGTTTCTTCAATGTCAGTATGAAATGTATTAATGTGAATGAGATATGAATGCGACAAGTGATGAAAACTAGCATGAATGGAGAGAAAAAGAATATGTTCTAAAAACACAACATGACGAGAGACATACTTGAAGATGAACTACTCAAGTGAAAGGAGGATGAATCCACAATAGAAGCTGCAACACCTGATACTTTGAGTTGATCCAAAACATATAGTCCCCCCTGCCTACGGCCTGTCCCAATCTCCTTCTGAGACTGCGGGTCCTGTATAGAACAAGTGGAAGACGAAAACGAAATTAAGTATCCCGATTTACATAATTTACTAACAGAGACAAGGTTCAAAGTAAGACTAGGAATATAGTAAACATGAGGGAGAGACACAGAAGGAGTAACAATTGTGCCGACACCTAATTGTAAATGGATCCTACTGTCGACGCCAAAATCGAAAATCAAATTAAAACAAAATTGTTTGCCAACCTCTTGTTGCAAATCAAATCAAAAGTATCAGTAATCTATGAAATAAAGCATATGTCTTCTCATCTTCTGAGCATCAATAAAATCTGGCTCCGATACCATGAAAACATAGGGAGATAACATCAGGGTTTGTTTTATTAACAATTGAGTGGTATTGGAATACACAGTATGATGCTTATATAAGTCGTTAATCCTAAATAAGAAAAGACTAATCTACCCTCAAAGACAAATAATAATAATGACAAAAATATTAATGCTAACAAATGGTTGCCAACATTACGGAAAACTTATGAGAATATTTGGAGATACTACAGCTATAGGTGTTAGTGCTTGTCCATCAACCAAAATTCCATCGAATTCTGAAGATGAAAATGATGTTGGAAGCAATATAAACTTTGTTGTTGAAGATACTAAAGGACAAGAAAAAAGTGGGAAACAAGTTCGAAGGAAAAGGGAAGAGTTAAGTAGTTTCATTTCTTCGTTTATAGATGTGTATGCTAAAAATGCAGAGAGAATAAATGATATTCTTGGGAAAAAAATCTCGAGTCGATGAAAGTCGGTCATCGAAGGCAAAAGATTCTATGGATGAAGAGTTGATGGAATGCTTCCAAGTTTTAAATGCAATGGAAGATATTGATGGGGAAACTTATACTAAAGTCTTGGAGCTTTTGCATGTGGATATTGCTTGGAGAAAAATGTTTTTACTCATGTCTGGGTCGAAAAAAGAAAGACTTCTTTCGTAGTATAGATGTCATTTTATGCTTTTATTTTGATTGAAACTCAAATATCTAATTTGTGGATATCTTTTGTAGTTCTATTATTTTCTTTTGATTGAAACTCAAAGTTCGACTGATGTGGTTATCGTTTTTTGTTTATAATATAAATATTTCGAATTTGATTTCACTTTATTTTCCTCATTTTGATCCATTTATGTTTATAAAGTTGTTTCTTATTCCTATCTTGTTTAGGCAAGTTCATGGAACTAATTCAACACAATAGGAAAGGTATGATTGGAGATTATAACTTTGAGGATTGTGAGGATGAAAATGATGAATTTTTATACATATTTGTATGTTTATTGTGCATTGACGTCTACAAGATGCAATCCTCTAAACAACCTAGTAGAACATATTCGCTTAAAGGTCATGATTATGTGATTGAGTTATTAAATGACAATGACACAAGATGCTTTGATTATTTTAAGATGAAAAAAGATACATTCATAGCTTTTTGTGAAGAATTAAAAGCTAAAACGGATTTGAAAGCATCTAGGTATCTTACCGTTAAAGAGCAAGTTGCCATTTTTTCGTTAATCGTATCACATAATGAAAGAAATCGTATGAGCATAAAGATTTCAACACTCAGGTCATACCATTTCTCGATCCTTCAACCATGTTTTAAAGAAAGTTTACAAGCTTGGAGTATAAATTATTTGTCCACCAAACTTAGACATTATACCACTGGAAATCATATTCAAGCCTAAATATTATCTTTTCTTTAAGGTAATGAATTGTTTGTTTTTTCCACAAACATTTTGAATAAATATTTGTTTTCGAATAATAAGCTTGTGTTTGTGCTTACTTTTTAGAATTGTATTGGTGCGATTGATGATACTCATATATCTGCATGCATTCACAAAGTGAACGAATTCTAATGAACCTTCCCTAGATTTGTCGTGAATCTGCTCACAACACTCATACTGTTGGCTTTTTGGCCTTAATCTCAAATTAATTAATTTTAATTAATTAATTAATTAATGTTTTGATGATAACAAACTTAGTTTTATTTATTGACATTTTTTGTATTTTAAAGTGTCCACAGTGTAGAGCTCGTTACAACGATTCCAACAACTGTTAGATCATCCAAATCGGAGCTCAAACGGAGAAGTTACGATCGAAACAAATTGGAAGGAAAAATACCCGAGAAGATGACGTGGCCAGTTCGTAAGCTGACAAGTGACAAGCTTCTTTTTAAAGTATATATATATATTGAAAAAGAAAATAAAAAGATAAAAAAGAATAAATAAAAATTCAAAAAGAAAAAGTCAAAAGTTACCGTGGGTAATTTTGTTAAAAAAAAAAAGTCACTTCACATTAAATGCTGTCAGTTTAAAAAAAAATTTTGAAAAGTTACCGTTTTCTCACACATATATATATATATATTATTATTATTAATATTATATATATATAATTAAAATAACTTGTCACATCACTTTTTATATATATATATTTTTATTTTATTATCGTTATTATATATATATTATTCTTAATTTATTTTTTTTCAAAATTATCTCAACCCTTCATTCTTAATGATTAAGATCTAATGGTTTAAAATTAAACTTGATTTTTTTTTACCATTTTCTTCCCTCTATTTAAACTAAACTTCTCATTCAAAATTAGACAACAATTCTCTTATTCTCAATCCTCCATAACTTCAAAATTTTCATTTTGCTAATCTCTCAAAGTTCTCAATTTTTCTTTCCATCTTATTTGTGAGAGAAATTTTATTGTTGTGAGGATTGAAATTTTTGTGAGCTCAAATTTGTATATTTACTCTATTTGAGAGTTTGTAAGTGTGTGTTTCAAAATCTTCAACTCATTGTAATGGTGTGATCCTCACCGTGGAGAGGATCGTCTTTGCTCTTGTGAAGAACAGTGTACCGGTTTGACTCCTACCGTAGAAAGAGTCAGAATTTCAATTTACAACCCAAGAGGTGCTTGGGAAGTGGAGTAGGACAGTTGTGCCGAACCACTATAAAAATTTCTGGTGTCAAATTTCTYTAACYCTCTCTCTTATTTATTTTTGCAATTAATCTTAGAATTTGATTGTTTGCTTTAAATTTCTCTTGTTTGCCTTAGAATTCATTTTATCTTACTTTGTTAAAATTGCATATCTCAAAAAGTGTATTATTTTTGTATAAATTGGGCCCATTTATTAAAAAGTTTATATTTTGTTAATTAAACCCTATTCACCCCCCCTCTAGGGTTGCCATACCGATCCAACACATACCATGAGCCAAATCTGGATGAGTTTAAATCATAGCGTACCTCAAGCTCCCCACAATACTATTAATGGAAAATCCTCCGTATCTTTCTTTTCTTGTTCACAACTCAAACACTGTTTCATAGATAATTTGAAGTGTGGTGTCAAATGAGTTTTTACTATCTTTGAATTTGTCATATTAAACCTGCCCAGTAGCTTTGAAATGTACTCCTTTTTACATCCTTTGAATTTGTCATATTAAACCTGCTCAATAGCCTATAAAGACACACTTTAAGGCTCTAAGGTTCAATTTATCTCGATTTGTGTGAGCATATGCAGTACATCCGAAAACTCTCAAGTGAGAAATGTCTGGTTTTACTCGAGACCACATCTCCTCAAGCGTTTTGAATTCAACAGCCGATGAACGTGTTCTATTTATCAAATAACACGTTGTGACTATTGCTTCCCCCCAAAACAATTTGGACAAATTTGATTGAGATAACAAACATCTTACCATTTCTAAAATGATCATATTCATACGTTGAGCAAGACCATTTTGTTGCGAAGTGTAACCAACTGTTAAGTGTCTAGAAATACCATACTTTGATCAAAGTTTATTAAACTCTCAATTCACAAACTCAAGTCCTCTATTAGTCATGATTTTCTTCACTTTCTTCCCAGTTTGATTCTGAAATAAAGTAAGCCAATCATTGAACTTTGACACTGTCTCATCTTTATGCTTCAAGAAATAAAGTCACACTTTCCTATTATAATCATCCACAATGGGTAGAAAATACTTGGCTCCTCCATGAATACTCACATTTGCTGGCCCCCATAAGTCTGCATGAATATAATCAAGCCTTTCTTTTGTGCAATGTTTTCCCTTTGTGAATTTTACATTTATAGACTTGTCAAAGATGCAATGTTCACAAATAGAAAAATTACCCACTTGCTTCAAGTTTAAAATCCCTTGATTATTCTGCTCTTTCACGCCTTTCTCACTAATATGCCCCAAACGTGTATGCCAGAGTTTTGTAGCTTTGAAATTTTTATCCACATCATCAGAGACAAGTGAGAGATTTTCTGACACTATCCGACTACTCAGTACATAAAACCCATTTTTAAGTTCTTTTCAGCTTCAATAGTGAGCCTTTACATATTTTAGTCTCACCATTTGCTATTTTGCTAGTATAACCAAGCTTATCTAAAGTTATAAGAGAGATAAGATTTCTTTACAAATCAGGGACAAGCCTCACATTAGTCAAAATTTTCACCAAATTATCATGAAGTCTCAGTCTCACCATGTCAATCCTCTTGATCTCACATATTTGATTGTTACCAAGGTAAAATTTTTTCTAGCTTGCAATGGTTTAAAGTCACTGAAGTATTCCCTTGAAGACGTCATATGAAAAATAAAAATTGAGTCCAAAACCCAGTTATCTGGCCATTCATTCCCTAAAACCAACAAAACCTCAGTTGATTCATAACCATCCAATACATTTGCTGAACTCTCTCCCTCGACCTTTTCCTGGTTGGATTGTTTGCTCTTTGCCAACAAATGACAATTTCTCTTAAAATGTCATTATTTCTAACAATTGTAAAACTTCTTACCCTTAGCTCTGGATTTTGATCGTGATTTTCCTCTCTAGTTGCTGTAATTTTTCTTCTTTACTCTACCTCGAGTTTACAGTGCTTCACTGTCATTCCTCTTCAGTTTGATCTCAAGTTCTTTCGACTTCAAAGCATTCATAACTATTTCTATATCTAAGCTGTCTCTTCCATACTTAATTGCTGTCTTGATTTCTTTATACAAATCGGGCAATGAATTCAACAAAATTACCGCTTGATTTTCTTCAGACATTTTCTCTTCAATGTTGGCTAATCAAGAACAATTTTGTTAAACTCATCTAAATTTGCATCTAATGGTTTTGAAGGATCCATCCTAAAACAAAAAAATTTCTCCTTGAGATATATCTTATTCATACAGACTTGACAAGATATAACTTATCCAACATTTTCTATATCTTTAAGGCTGAGGTGACATCATCGACCCGTCGTAAAACATTATCCGACAAATACAAAATCAGTGTACTAAAAGTCATCTCAAGCATTTCTTCCTTCTCTTATTCCGTCATTTCAGCTGCGTACTTTTTTTTAAAATCATTAAGAGCTTTTGCAACCTTTTGTTGCATTACGGACTCTCATCTTCTTTTTCCATAATCCAAAATCACCCTTACCATCAAATTTCTCTAGTTGAAACTTAGTAGTCATTTTCAAGATTCACTTATAAAAATCTTTTTAATTTTTTTTGATAAAAGCTTGTTGAAAAAAAAAAGAGCTCAAACGAGGCTCTGATATCACTTATTGAGAAATTCCAACATACATTAACAACACCAACAATTTCAAAAAATATATAATATCAACTAACTAAGTTCCAACAATAAATTTAACAAATAAATGAGGTATAGAGAAGAAATGACATACTGATTTATAGTGGTTTGATCAATGTGATATACATCCAATATAACGATCCGTCTATTCCATTCAATCGCCGAGAGCAACAACAAAGTACAAGGAGTCTTCAAGGAATAAAGAGCTTTAAGATACAACACCAAAATCCCCTAAAACAACACACCAATCTCACTCACCATCAATGAAGTTGATACAAAAGAGAGAAGTACCCAAGGGAATTTTGCAAGAGAAAACCCACTTAAATCTCTCTATTTTGGCTCACACACTAAATATTGTATTTTATGTTTTTAAGTGTTTTCAAATATGTGTTTGGTATCAGATTTGAAAAATGAATCTCAATTTAAAAATTGTCCAATATGTGTTTAATAATATATTTGTAAAACAATGTAGTTACCAACTAAATATTTAGTTCAATCTAAAATATCATTAAATAATTTATTAACATATATGTTACAAATTTGATGTTATTATTATTTTACAATATTATATACATGTTGTACTAAATATATATATATATATATATATATTTTACATATTTTAAATAAAAATATATATATATTTTACATATTTTAAATAAAAAAAGAATTTATAACATGAAATATTATATCTGTCAAAGTTTTTAGGGTAAGCATGATTAGTTATCTAAAAACATAAATTTAAAAATATAAGGGATTCAATGTGTTTGGTAGCAGATTTGAAAATTGAATCTTAATTAAAAAAAATCAAATTCAAAATATTTTGTAACATATTGGCAAGTGTTACCAACTAGATATTTAGTTTAATCTAAAAAATATATTAATTAATTTATTAACACAAATGTTATAAATTTTGTTAGAATTAGTATTTTACAATGTTATATTTTACATAATATAATTTTAACAAAAAATGAAATGAGTTTATAGCACGAAAGAATGTATTTATCAAAGTTTTTATATTTTTAAATATAACTCTGCATTTTAAAATTTTATATTCAAAATATGGAAATATTGTAAACATAAAAAAATTGTTTTCAGAATTTTCACTATTTGGATTACAAAATCCGAAAAGAACCCTACCAAACCCATATTCATTGAACTCATTTAATTCAGTGAATCTGAAAACAGAAACAGAATCCGGATTATCTCCCATACTCTTAGCTGTTTGGTTGGAAACTCGGATTCTATTTTTTGTTTTCAAATTCACTTAATCAAATGGATTGAGTTAATACGCATTTGGCAGAATTTGAGATATTCGTTTTTGAAAGCTGTTTTCGGATTATGTGATCCAAACAATAGAAATTCGAAAACAATTTTTTTAATTTATTTATATTTTTAGTGTTTTCAGATTCAAAATTTGAAAATTTTAAGATGCATAATTACATTAAAAATGATAAAAACTTTGATAAATATATTACTTCATATTATAAACTCATTTTATGTTTGTTAAATTTAAAACATGTAAAATATAATGTATTCTAAATTTATAATCTTGTAAAATAATAATTATACAAAATTAATTAAAAAATGTTAATAAATTAATCCATATAAGTTTAGATTAAACTAAATATTTGGTTCGTAACTCCTAACAAAATTTTAAATTGAGATTCAATTATCAAATCTGTTACAAAATAATATTTGAAAATACTGAAAACAAAGAATACGATTATAATTTTCATTAATCTCTTGTTTTCAAATTTACGTTTTTTTAATTACCAACCAAACAAATCCCATCTTTTTATATAATTGTGCATTTTGAAATTTCAAATTTAGAACCTGAACCTAAAAAATGGGGATGTTTTAGATCCAAGAATTCAAAAGTAATTTTAAAAAATAATTATGGCAAATAGATATTAACTCAATTAATGATTTAGTGAATCTGAAAACAACAAAAATTAAAGAAAAAAAAGAAAAAAAGAGAAAAGACCGAAAAGAAAGACTACTCGTTTAAACAGACTTCTGGTTGAAAACAAAATTCAAGATTTGCGAAAAGGGAATTCTGGAGGTGCTGGAATATTTCCCCACCCACAATCGCCATTGATGTTCAAATTCTCTCCGAAAGAAGTCAAGAGGGAAAGCATGAAGATGAGTCTGACCCCAGATGAATCACGGACACTCTACTCCTTCCTAGCAGGAGGGGATCAGCGCCCATTTATGGATATCATCGCCGATTTTACCGCCAAGATCCCTCGCCCTCGCCACTTCGTTGCTTGTTATTCCCTCGTTCTTCTCTTGGAGGTAATTACAATCTCTTTTCACTCTTCCCCATCTACTCTTTTTGTCATGATTTCGCACTGCTTGTACGATTTCTTCTGATTTTCTTGTTTTTCCACCAGCTCTAGGGTTGGATTTTATTTGCAATTCTCGTTTATGTTGCGCCTTCATTTACTTAGCCTGCCGATTAGATTTGTTTTTGTTTGTTATCACTGCATGCGTTGGAACTAGGCCTCTCTGTCACGAAGCTTGAATACCCACTATGGATGTAGAACCTAAATCGATGAAGTTGTGGCCGCAGGAACTGTATTTTAATTTTTTTTTCCCATTTGGGTTTCTTTTGTGGCCGCAGAAATTATAATAATATTAATAATATTACTCATTCTTGGTCGTCTTTTGATTCGAGGCCTCTCGACAATAGCTGTTATCCCTTTTCAACCTGTTTATTAATGCAATCATAAAAGAAAGTAGGATGACTATGTAGCAGAAGAATTCTTATCACTGAATTTCATACAAGCGGGGGATATCTTAAATAATCTATTCTCCACTCTGTTCAGCTATTCAGAATGTAGGTTTTTTCCTTGTTTATTTTATTGTCATTTTTAGTTTGGTATTTGATATTTTGGGATTTTCACTTGTATATATAGTTGGAATGTGCAGTTCATTTTGAGAATAAATCTATGTTTGGTATTAACCTTTTGTTTTCTTTGTACCGTTATCATTTGTATAGAAGTCTTTTCTTGTGTCATCTAAAAGAAAAAATGGTACAATATGTTTTTCCACATTACTATTATCGCTGTTATAGTGAATTATTGAGGTGATTGTGACATGGTATTGATTTCTATTTGGAATTTATCATACATGTTTAGACAGTGATGAATGGATTCCACATCTTTGATGTGAAACTGTTTCCATCTGTTTCTTATCTTTTGCATGAAATCTTTATATGCTTAAGACTTGACCATTTTTTGTCTTTACGGATTACTGATTGGCTGGTCTAAAATGCAGCCAAAGAAGTTGCTCAATTCCACTCAACGTTTAGTGGGGTTTGCTATTCTTCACCAGGCATATTCCTCGCAGAAATCTTCTTCTAATCCGTTTATATCTTTTATCGTAAATGTAAGCATGCTACCTTATGACTTGTTACGAGTAAAATAAGGCATTTTAGAGTTTTGTTCTCTTTAGTTTTCCGCTCAAAAATTAAATTCATTAGGTTGGATAGCAATGTTTTACAAATTAATTTTTGTTAAATGTCAATAGCCTGACACCATTATGTAAACTATGCTCTTTTGCACCTTGGGCAAGAAAAATTTAGCAATTTAACTCTATTGTAAATTGTTTAGAAACGTGCCGTGAATACAACTGTAGACTTCATGACTGAAGTAGATAAATAGATATAGAGGGAGTTGAGCTTGTATCGTTGAGTTCATAAAAGATAACTATTTTTCTTTCTCCATACCTTGGAGCTCTCTCAATTATGTAGTTGAATGCTTCAAGACACTTTTTGTCTCTCCCCTTAGCCTTAAATTCTTCAAAGAGTCTAGAGTTGATGATTATGTGTTGTGGGTCGAAAAGATGTCATACAAAAAGGGTTCCTTTGCCGAGATCACAAATTTGGACTAAAATGGTGACAAAAATAGAGTTCTAGTCCCTTCCGGTGAAAGTAAGAAAGGTTGGTCCTTTTCTATTGCCCTGATTTCTCACTTCCCATATGCCTCTTCTTGCATTAATGAAGTTCATTTATCTTATAAAAAAGGTTGTTGAATGGTATTAATGCCTCTACCCCTACCTTCTCAAATGCTAGAACCAAAAAGCTTTTGAATAAAGTTGATTGGGACTTCCTTAAAGAGATCTTTGTGGCTAAGGAGATTCATACATTTCTACAGTTTTGGGCTCCTCTTGTTGGGTTGCTTTTGTATGCCCTTGTATATTCTTTCATTTTTTCAATGAAAGCAGTTTTTCATTAAAAGGAAAAAAGAAACTTGGATCTCTCCCAAATTCTATAAATGGCAAATATGCTATTGAAAGCATGGTAAGGTGTGAATTTATGGGGACCAAGTTTCGTGGATAGCCTTTAAATTATGAATTGGACTATTTCTCCATCAATCCCTGCATTTGAACAACATCTTCTATCCACAACCCTGATTTCCGTAGCCACTAACCTACCTAATTGAGTGCCTATTCTCCATTGAAGTAGTTGCTAAGCTTCACTGTCTCCATCTTCACGTTGGCTTTTGGGAATGAACTGTGAATTTTCCAAGCTTCTCTGTCGGGCTTCCTTAGTAGGGTGTGTGCGAAGTGCGTGATTTTCCTTTGGGTCAAAATTTAAAGAGTATTGCCTTTTGGGTGCCAGCACAAAAAAGATTCAAAAGCGCCTCGCTTTGTGGAAAAAAGTCTTTTTCTTTAAAGGATTGAGACTAACACTTATCCAGGCAGTTTTAAGGGTATACCTACTTACTTTATTTCCCTTTTTAAAATCCTGATTGTGAGCAAGAGCTTGGAGAAAATTATGAGAGATTTCCTTTGGGAGTGGATGAGGGGGATGGATGTCACTTAGTCAATTAGGAAACCATTTCAAGGCCTTTGGAGGTGGGGGAACTTGAGACATAGAAAATGACGCTTTGTTAGCTCCCAAAGGATGATTCCATTGGCAAGAGCTTGGGGTCTCTTGGTCGTACCGACTTGGAGGTCTCAAGTTCGAAGCTTCGCGTGAGCTTAATACAAAAAACCGTTGATATTTATCGGGTCCAAGCCTTGTGGTGGGGGTAGGTGCCTTGAGTATTGAGTAGCAAAGCTTCGACTTCCGATTATCACAAAAAAAGGCTTTGTTGGCCAAATGGTTGTGGTGGTTCTTTCAAGAATCTAGTGCCTCGTGATAGTGAAACTTTGGAGGTTTCTTTGGGTCTCTCCCCCCTTCTACCCCATTGCGTGCTTCGCTTTGTAAAGTTAGAAGCCAACAAAGATAATGTTTTTGGGTGCAGGCATGAGAAAGTCGACACCTTGAATCGTATTCAAAGGTGTTCTTCCTTCTTATTGGGGCCATAGTGGTATGTTCTTTGAAAAGTACCTTGAGGATCTTGACCACATTATGTGGAAATGTGCCCAGGATATTTGAGTTCTTTAAGTTGTTTGGGGTGACTTGGGCTCGTAACAGAAGTTATTGGGTGTTGATGGAGTGGGTTTCGTTGTTCCCTCCCTTTCAGGACTAGGGAAGGTTTTGTGCTTGATTTGCCTCTTTGCTATTTTGTGGGGAATTTGGCGTGAGAGAAACAATATAATATTTAGGGGTTGAGGGATCTAGGAAGTATGTTTTGGAGCATATTAGATTTAATACTTTCTTGTTCCTAAGATTTTTTGTAATTCTCAATTAGGTTTAATTCGTCTGGATTGGAGCCCCTTTCTCTAGGCGGGCTTCCTTTTGTTTGTCAGGCTCTTTTTTCGTTTCCCCTTCTATACTCTTTCATTTCTCTCAATGAAAGCTCAGTTGCTCATTTTTTTTGAACAACTTTTCATTGATAAATGAAAAGGAATTGAAAAATGTTCAAAGATACAAACTCCCGTAGGAGTGAGATTATAAGTGAAGCAAAAAGAAATAAACCAAACCAAAATTAAGGCGGAGTTATAAGAGCCTCCCAATTTGAACAAACCATACTTGAAGAATAATTAGCGAACAAATTAGAAAGAACACACCATCTAGAGACTTTAAACTTGGTTAAATTGAAAACCTTAAAAACCTCAAGGGAAGCTTTACTTTTTCCTCCGAAAATCTTTTGATTTCTTTCAAACCAAATACCAGACAATAAAGCTATAACTCCAGCTATCCATAACTCCATTACACCAAAGAACACCTGCTTTGGTGCAAAACCCGGCCCGATTACTAGTGAACTTAGTTTTTTGCAACATCAATCTCAAAACACTCAAGAAACGTTAAAAAGCTCTAAGAAAAATTTCCAGCAGGATGCTGCAAAAGAGCATTGGAAGAAAATATGCCGTGGGGACTCGCAAGAATTTCCACACAGTAAATAAATAGAGGGATGAAGAACCATGGAAGGAATCTTTTTTTGAAGAACATCAGCCGAAGAATCCAAACTAGGATATTAACTTTCTTTGGACTTTTTGTTTTCCATAGTGCATCCAAAAGGTCCCCAGGCAATGGAATAGAATTTTGCTGCCTACTTAAGGAGGCAAAAGACCCCCGAAGGTTCCAAAGACCAGCACCTTCTACCAACTTCATCTATAACTGAGGTTGAATTAAATAAAGCCAGCAAGGCTGAAAACTCCTCTAATTCGTCTTCTTTTAAAGCTCTTCTAGTCTCAATATGCCAAACTCCAGAGACATAATCCCAAAAGTTTGAAACAGGGGCATTAGGAAGAGGAGAAAGCTTAAAGATCTTAGGAAAACAAACCTTTAAAGCCTCATTCCCCAACCAGATATGATGCCAAAAGAAAACCTTTCTCCATTATGAACTATGAAGTGTGAATGATGCTACACCTTTTTCCACTGCTTAGTAATGTTGCTCCACGGACAACGAAGGCAGGAATTAGGCTTTTCAGCAACTGACCAACCAAAGGAATCAGAACCATAAATGCTATCCACCACCAACCACCAAAGGGAACCAGATTCTAGACCAAAACGCCAACCTGATTTTGCTAAAAGAGCATTGTTTCTTCAGGCAAGACCCCCAACTCCCAAGCCACCATTAGCAAGATGTTTAGAAGTAATATTCCAATTAACAAGCTTTCTCATTAAAAAGAATATGTAATGGTAGCATATTAGAAGGGAATCAAAGCAAAGGTTACCGATTTCCATCAATTTGATAGCCCCATTTTTTTTTAACAAGAAACAACTTTTCATTGATATATGAAAATGACCCATTTCTTTGTTTTAATAATAATAAAAACCTTTATTGCTGTAGGATGGGCTGTACAAATAAAATTTTGTTCTTTTCCTTGCCTTCTGTATAAGGTTAATTTTAGTAATTGTGATTTTTTCTGCTTTGCATTCTGGGTATCAGGCTGCTTCTAACGAGGAAGCTGAAAAATATGAGAGGGCATTTATTTTCCAGCTTTTAGCATCTGACAGCTCCAGTGGTGGCAAAGAGGTTCGACTTTTTTTATTGACTACATTGATTTTAGCTGACCATTTAGCATATTCTTAGTTGTCTATAATAATTGCTTATGCTGTATGGTTTGGAAGATGATGTCCTATTTGGGCATCATGGTAACTGATTAATATGAGGAATCATAACTGGGTTAGATTATTGGTAAAATCGTACTTGTATGCATTATAATTTTGTTATTATTGTGAGTAGCTTTTCCCAACCTTCTCATGAGGAATTATAACTTAGTCGCTCTTCAGGTGGTTCTATCGAACCAAAAAACCTCACCCTCAAATATCCCAAAATTACATGTATTCTAATTACAAGGAATGGCAGACTAACATACCTGAAGCAGACTAACATTCCTGGTTGAGACCTAAGCGAAACAAAATTTTATTTTATTTATTCTCCAATAAGTTTGTACAAGAGGTAAGCCCTCCCTTTACATTTATAGGTAAGGTAGGGATTACAGATAAAACCTCTTGCTAACTTACATCAATCCCTCCCCTAAGAAAAAATAAACTTGTGTATGAGTTAAGGATAATTACTCGTTTGGAGGGTATTAGGTAACTAACTAAAAAGCATTGTTGTTCAGATCAAGTGGCAGTTCGACAATATAAGCATTATCTGCAACTCGTTTGCGATTTGACATTGACCAATTATTTTCTTTTTCTGTCTATGAAACCTGTTCTTCCTTATTGTACCATGACCAGCTCTGCCACTTAGATCTCCTTGCTGGGTCATTCTTTTATTAATCGCTGCCACATACTGCATGCTAACTTTTATTAAATGGTCAAGTAACTCGTTTTGCATCTTCTTGATTTGATCGGCTATTGCTTTAACCTTAAGATTTAAATTTGTAGAACTAGGCAAATTCATTAGGTGAATAGTTAAATGGAAATTAGTATATACTACCATGTTTTATGTATAGATCTACCCTTCATATTATTGAATGCCAGCTCGGCTTGTGGGAGCACATCCAGTTTTTTTAGCTTGCCATCTCTAAGGCATCGAATTCAATTTTTCCATATTCTGTCATTCCTCTTTCCGTCTAAATCATCTTTGTTAATAATTTGGTAAGTGGAGCTGCTTATAGAACTACCGAATGAACTTTTTATAAAACGAAGCTAACCCATGGAAGCTTTGGATATCCTTAAAAGACTTTGGTATGTTCTATAGTTTAGGTCATACTTTTCTTTCTTCTATCATTTTATATTATAATGGATTCCAGAGGAAGAATGTATATTAGATTGTACGCAAAAAAAAAAGTCTCGGTTACCAATCAAACCCTTGTGAAGACGAGACTTGTTCTGTGCATCTAGCCTGTTACGTTTTCAATGTGAACTTCAAGAAATATTGGATGTTTTGGTACATTTTGTCGAGTGTGTATGGTATACCTAATACCAATGTACTAATCTTATTTTATTATATAGCTACATGCCTATGCTAATTTTCATGTATATCATTCTCATTATATAAGTCATGATGGGGATGTCTATCTTGCAGTTCCTGAAACAGTCTGCTTCGGATTACATAAAAGGTTTCGATCCTTCATTGCATGTAAGATACGTAAATCAACATGAATATAACCTTCCTTTTAATTTGTCTTTAGGAAGACCCTAAAGAGTTATTCCCACAAGTTCTTTTATTGTGGGGAGAATCAAATTTGTAATATCTATTTGATGTAATTAAGGTTTGTTTTATCCAGGCTTTCCCTCAGTTAGAGCAGTTGCAGCAACAGTTTTGCGATAAAGTCCAAGCTCAATCGTTTGATTGCTTTTCGAAAGACAGTTCAGTGAGGAATGTGGTGCCAGACCCTGATGTCCCACAGGGTTGTGATGCAAACTCCCCCGAGTATGAGTTGTCCCCTCCCCCCTTTCTTGAGTTCTCGCTTCAATGTTTTATGTGTTTAACATAACCTAGCCTCTGCATTGACATATTATTTCCATTTTGTTGAAATAAAAATGTTTGTATGATGTTGGAAATCTTAGATTTGACCTGCTACCTGGAGTTGTACCTAAACTGGGATCCGGAGAGAGAGATGAGACGTTGATGGGGTTATTGTCTAATTTGTCACTTGAAGGATTAAGTCCAGAGTGGATTAGGCCTCTTCCACCAAGGCTTCCGGTACAGAATGGAGAGGTGAGACACATTTTAACTCTCTTTTCAGCTAACATATGTAGTTTAGAGCACTCCCGAGTTATACTTTACAAAGCCCCTTTGCAGTTAGTGTGGTTGAACCTTGACGATCATCATGAACTTTTATGGGATCATGGGATGTGTGTTGACACTAGTAGAGGTGCAGCTGTTAGGGACTTAATTGCGAAAGCTCTGAAGGGACCTCTTGCACCAGCTCAACAAGAGGTGCAAGTACTTCAATGATTACTTTGTTTCTTGTCACACGATTTTTGTTTGCTGTATGATGAATCCCAAAGGAGCGACTCATTGTTTATTTTTTGGTTGAACAGCAAGTGGTGGTGGAGTTGGCAAGTGACCCGAAGCTTGTATATCATTGTGGACTCACACCACGAAAGCTACCTGTATGTGTTTGCATTATCTCATAGTCATTAGAAAAAATGTCGTTCCTGCCTGATCTTTTGAAAATAATTTTCTTATCATTAGGAACTGGTGGAAAACAATCCTCTTATTGCAGTTGAAGTTCTAAAGAAACTGATAAATTCTCCTGAAATTGCAGAGTATGGATTTCTATCCATGTATTGATTTGTTTTTTTTTAATTTGTTTTTTTAATTTTTGTCCTGAGAATAAAAAAAGAATTTGTGTCCTGAGATTCTCTCTTTTTAGCCTTCTTACCTTTATTGATTATCACACCTTTTTATGGCAGGTACTTTACTGTTCTTGTGAACATGGACATGAGTTTACACTCTATGGAAGTTGTCAACAGACTAACAACAGCTGTTGAACTTCCCTCCGAGTTCATACACATGTACATTACTAATTGTATATCATCGTGTGAGAGCATAAAAGTATGTACTTCTCCTATTGTCTTCAAGTTCTCATTGTGTTTTGTGTGTTAGCCCCTTGAAGACATGTATATTTCTATGAACTCAGTTCTCTTATTTAATTTTTGAGTTATGTTTTTGGAGATGGAAACTTTTTTCATTATTAGATTAAAAAGTAAGGATCCTAATGGCTCAAGGGACCCCTCCTTATCCCTTGAGCATTTGCTTGGTTGGACGCCCTTGGAAAGGATTAATACTTGCAGAAAGGCTCAACAAGTCTTTTGTACTTGGAAAGACATTGAGGAAGGAGGAATTTTTCGATTCCAATTTGCTAGTTTTGTTTGGCAGATGCTAAACATCGTTAAGATATGACAATTTTTTATTTTTGAATTTTTCCCCAGGATAAGTACATGCAGAACAGGCTGGTTCGACTTGTATGTGTTTTTCTACAGAGCTTAATTCGAAATAACATCATCAATGGTAAGTGATTCCTTTCTTCTATGGCCTTTGTTTCCTTTCACATCTATGCGTATGTATGTGTCTCTTACTGGAGACACAAATAAGGGAACGTGTTTGGAACAGTCTAGAATTATTAAATAAGAAGTATCATGTCCTGTGTTAACGGATTGTGCCACATGCTAAATCATATAGGTATTTTGATGTTTGCTACCTAACCTTATTTTTGTTTGAAATAGAAATTGTCGGGCTACTTCAGTTAACTGGTACTGTTGTCATTCTTTTTTTAGTAGCTTTTTTGCCTTATAGTATTCAGGCAACCTGTGCTGTTTACCTAAACAAACTGGTTCAGGGTATATGGGGAGAAAAGCAGTCAGCAGCGAGGTTGATTGATATCTAAGAATAGTACTAGTGTGCATAGCAATTTTTTTTTCTTGAAACAAACTTTTCATTGATATATGATTTTTTTTTTCTCTGAGAAACCAAGCATTCATTGAGAGAAAGTGAAAGAATATACAAAGGGTATACAAGAAACAAGCTGGACAAAAGAGAACCGCCAACAAGGACAGGCCCCAATCAAAAAGAATGATATCTAACTGGTGATAGACACTGTAACCCAAAGAGAGGTATTAAATCTAATCAGCTCCCAAACCTCCTCTCAAGACCTCTCAACTCTCCTGAATAGTCTGTTATTCCTTCCACACCAAACACACCTCAAGATGGGGAAAAAAACAAGCCTGCCATAACAAGAGCCCTCTATTCCAAAAAGGCGGGAACAACAACACCTCATCCAACGAAGCCCTACAATCCCTATTTCCCACCCAAAAGACCCCAAAACCTCTAGAAACCGATTCCGAATAAGCTGAGCAAACTGATAGCTCCACAAAATATGATTAAGATCCTCAACAACATTTTTGCATAGGACACACCACTAAGGCCTCAACAACAAGGAAGAATGTCACCAAATACTGGTCCATGGTATTAACTTTCCCATGTAAAGCTTGCCGGGCTATGATATATGATATATGATAAGTTGAAAAGCCAAAAAGCCAAAATGATAAATCAGTGAAAATAAAACCAAACAGCCAAAGGAATAAAGATAAGTTTGTTAAGGATTCTACATTGAAAGATAAGGGACCTAACAAGGGTTTATAATAAGTGAGCCACTTTTCTCATTGCTAATTGGTCTTGAGATAGAATCCCATAATATTGATGTGGTATCAGAGCCCAAAAGCTAAATGGGATATTGACCAAGATTGGTGAACCCAAAAGAGGCACCATCTCGAGGGGGGCATGTTAAGATCCCACATTGAAAAGATAAGGGACCTAATTGAGGGTTTATAAGTGGGCCATCCCTCTCATTGCCGATTTGTTTTGAGACAGAACCCCAAGAATTACAATAACAAAAAAAAAAAAATAAACGAAACATTGAAGAACATAACTGCCAGGGGAGGTCTTGAAAAGCCAAAAAGCCATATGAGCAGGAGCCACTAGTCCACTACCACCCAGCTTCAAAAATAGCATCAAGCGATGCCAAGCAAACGTCCAGAACGAAAGATCCAACTAGAAAGCTTTGTAGAAAGCCGAAAAGTGAAGAGAACACCTAACTATTATTGGGAAGATTGATCTTTCAAAATTTAGCTTAGATTTTGAAAGTGTTATTGGAGAGTAGATAGCAAAACAATGACTTACCATCTTAATTTTCAAAAGTAGAAAACCAAAAACATGATTATGAATCGGAGGCTTAATGTTCTATTATAGTTTAGTTCCTGCCTTCTATTTTGTGTCTTTTTTTATGTCTTGTTTGATAAGCATAACTTTTTTTTTTCCTTATTTATTTTGGAGTTGAGGTCGGGATTTGATCTTTTAACTTTTATTAGAGGTTATCAATGTTTCAACCAATTGAGCTATACATCCTTTGGCTGTAAGCACACTTGGTTAATTTCAGTGATTTTGTTTTGGTTCTGGTTGCAGTTAAAGATCTTTTCATCGAAGTTCAAGCTTTCTGCATCGAGTTCTCTCGGATTAGAGAAGCAGCAGCGTTGTTCAGGCTTCTTAAATCTTTGGAATAAGTGAGTAGTAGCTGCATCCATCTCAGCCAAGCAATTCTCTCTCTGTAAATAGCAATTGTTAGCCATTTTACACTTGTGTCTTAGGCCCCTCTCCTCTTCTCTCTGTGTCTATGGTTTAGCAAATATTTGACTAAGTATATATTTGGTTTTAGCCCACTTCCCATTTACACTTTGGATTTTGTTGTTTTGCTTCTGCGTTTGCTGGCTGACTGGCTATTGCTTTGGAAATCCATCAGAATGGTGGTTTCAGGTTTTCCACAAGTCATTGCTGCGTTCTGTGGGCAAAATTTTAGAGATGAAAATAATTCTCTGTTCTCTTTTATACAAGTATATGTCAGTTGAGTTCTATTTCATTTCCTATGTGTTTGGTGGGATATTAATATATCTAAATAATGGTTTTATTTATGTTTTTTTTTTAAAACTATAATTCAAAATAAATTTTTACTGACCTAATTATCTACACAAAAAAGATAAGAACATAACTAAATCAAACAAATAGAATAAAAATGGCATGACTAGATNTTTTATGGAAAATTCTCATTTTGGGAGCATTCAATAGAAATCTTGGATGTATAGATTGTGATTCGTAATATTCCTTTAATACCTTTAATAACACTTTCATCGTTGGCTGTCTTTTAAAAAATTATGCTTGATTTTTACAAGTTTTCTAATATACTTTACCTTAAAAATAGGTTTGAATTGTAAGTCTAATTTCAAAAAAAGAAAGAAAAAAAAAGCAAGTTTTTAGAATTTTTTTTAAGTCTCATGATTTCATTTCTTGTTTTTAGTTTTTAAAAATTAAGCTTATAATCGTTATTTTTCTGTTGTGTTATTTGATCTTAAAACATCTTCAAAATTTAAGCCAAATTTTGGAAATTAGAGAAAAAAGTGATTTTAAAAAATTTGTTTTTGTTTTTAAAGTTTGGCTAAAATTTAAATTCTATTTTTAGGAAAGGTGAAGAAATTGGGAGAAGCAACTATAATTATTAAAAACAGAAAATTAAAAATGAAACTGTAAATTCAGAGGGCGTTTAGTTTTCAAATTTTTAGATTTTGAAATGTTTCTCTTTTTTAAAAGTATGGATGAYAGAAAAAAAAATATAAAGGTGGTAGCAGTGTATCTAAATTTAGAAATAGAAAAACAAAAAATAAAATTGTTATTAATGGAGTCTAAAGATGTAATTTATTATTGGTTAAATTATATAAAATACCTTTGAATAATAGCTTAGGTTTCAATTTTGTCCTTTAACAGTATCAAAAGTTTCAATTCTACTCTCAATTTTTAAAATTGTTTCAAACTACTTCGTGGGAAAAATGTGATACGATGAGTTGTCCAATGAGGTGTAAAAATAAAGCTATACATGAAATAGTTTGTTTCAATTATGTCCTTGAACTTTGGGGTAATTTTCAAAAAGTCTCATTTTAACTATATTATTATTATTTTGAGTCAAATGCATATGGGCAAGGGATCAAAACTTATGATTTTTTTGGTCAATGATATATGCCTAACCAGTTGAGCTATATTCAGGTTAGCCATTTTTACCTTTTAACTTTCATAATTGTACAAGACAACCTTTGTATTAGCTTCTGGATGAAAATCTGGAGTGACGAATGATAAAAAGAATTGAAAGGTCTCTGTCACATTCGAAAACGACTGTCATTGGAGGGAAAAAGTTTTGGGGGTTAGGGTACAAAACTATCAAGGGAGTAAGCAAACTATGAATGAAGACAAAAATTGGGGCCTCTTGTTTCATGATSAATTGATAGAAATTAGGGCTAGTAAAGAAATAAGAAAAGTTGAATGTAGGCACGAGGAATTGCTGATGGATTTTTTTTTTCTCTTCTCTCTCTCCTTGGTTCCTTCCTCTTCTTCTCATGGCTCTCACCAAAATTCCATGAACCCCACTCTTCCACAAGTTTTCTTTCAGGGATATATTACTTTTATTTTGGTCATTGTACTTTCAAACGTCAAACGTCCATATTGATTAGTGTACTTTCGTTCATTTTAGTCCATATATTTTCAAACATCTACTTTGGTCTATGAGCTTTTAAAGAAGGGACTATTTTGGTCTCTTAATTTTCATTTTTATTTAATTTGTTTAAACAATAATTTTAACCTGACATTCCATTTGCTAAATTTCTTAAAATGTAGCTATAAATTTATGTATTAAAAAATTTCATTGTGTTTAAAATTTTGTAATTAGGGACAAAATCGGTCACTTTTTAAAAATATAGACACCACAACAGGTGTTTTCTGTAGAGACTAAAATGAATAAAAATGAAAAGTATAGAAACAAAAATGAATGTTTTGGAAGTATAAGGATCAAAATAAAAAAAAAGTCAAAAGTAAATGAACTTGTTTAAACTTTTATTTATTTATTTATATAAGTTTTACAAGTTTATGATTTTCCCACAATGCGTGACTTTCTGCCTTAAATGATGAAATTTTGACTAAAAAAATATGCTTCTCTCCCTATCAACACCGAATTCAAATGTGACCCAAACTCTTTAATTGTTATGCCCACAATTAACTTTCATTTTACAACTCACCACTCACCGCGTCACATTTTCGTAATTATTTTAATGTGTAGTTAGTGGAATGGTTGTTTTGAGTCAATTTTAAGGGTTTAGAGCTTAAAATGAAACTTTTAAACAATGAGAGTATAACTGAAATTTATTCCAAAGTTTAGGAACATAGTTAAAGTTAAAACCACCTCTGCCACGTGTACCTTGTCTAACTCATTGTCCTGTCTCGGTTTTTCTTTTTTAACASAAAAGTTGATGAAAGGATACATTTTTTTAAACGATTTTAAAGGTGGTAGAATATTGAAACATTTGAAACCATAGATGCATAATTGAAACAAAAGTTCAATACCATTCTCTTTTTTAACATCAATAGCTTTTCTTTTGCATTTTATATAATTTAATATTTATGAATACTCCTTCCATTTATGGTTGCCTACTAGATTTTTTTGAATTAATGTTTAATAATTACTAGAATACCACTCTTTCTTTCTAGTTTATTGTAAATATATATTATCTAAAAATGTGCTAAATTTATATTTCTAGTTTCTTTCTAGTTTATTAAGGAAGCTTGGATGGGAATGGGACACAAGAATTTCTTGATATAAACTTAAGTCAAGCTTATGTAAGTCAAATGAATGGCGTGAGGAATGCATTGMATGGCGTGAGGAATGACATTGCAGATACCATATGGTTGGATTATTGTAATACATAAAGAGACGTGAATTTTCATGTAGTATGTATTAATATTTTTCTCCTTTCTATTAGTTTATATATAACAGATTTTAAAATTTTATGTCATATTTAATCTATYATATCAATGTTACGTAGAAGACTACATAAATTCTTAAATCCATATTCAATTTCTGAATCTGCTACCAAATACATATTTGAAAATAGTGAATACAATATCAAACACAGTTTCAATAAATCCTTAAATCCAGATTCAATTTCTGAATCTGCTACCAAGCACATTATTGAAAACACTGGATTCATAGAATACAACGCTTGTTTTCATTCAATCCCTTGTTTCCAAATTTATATTTCCAAAATCATATTCATAGTAGACGATTAATAGGCTATTTCGTTACTTGTAAATCTAGACAAGTGGCAAACAAAATTTTGAACTTTTGTCATTACTATTGACAAAATGTAGTTTAAAATTAATATTGAAAATTTCTATTTAAATTACATCTTTTAAATTTTAATTACATTATTTCGGAACTTCCGGTTAGTTTTATAAAAATTAGGCTAGGTAGCACTACTGAATTTTTCAGATTCTATGATCCAAATGTTATAAATTCTGAAACAACTTTTTTATATTTGGAGTGTTTTCAGATTTTGAAGTCAAAACTTTAAAATGGAGAGTTATATTAAAAAAGATAAAAACTTTGATAGATACACCATCTCATGTTATAAACTCTTTTAATTTTTTGTTAAAATTAAAACATGTAAAATAGAATATATTATAAATTATATAATATTGTAAAATATTAATTCTAACAAAATTTATAACATTTATGCTAATAAATTAATCAATAATATTTTAGATAATGACTTACCAATATATTACAAAAACACCTCGAATTTGTTTGTTTTAGTTTGAGATTCAATTTTCAAATATGCTACCAAACACATATTTGAAAACAATGAATACAACTCAGTTTTCATTTAATTCTTTTCAGATCACTAACCAAACACACCCTAAAATTATTCTTGCCTCCCCTCAACCTTGACTCGCTTTTGACGCTTATTCGCATGTCTAGTGGGTGTCATTAATTCTCTCGTTCAATGTATTCTTTAATGCCAAATATTTGTGTTGTTGCATTGGTTTAATTGTACGTTCCATAGTCTGAAAATACATCATGTTAGAGGTCTTGTTTCTTGGAGTTTAAGAATTAGAGGTCTCAAGTTTGAACTTTCGAGTGAGCTTAATATCCTTTCTATCTTTTTGAGTCAGGTAAATAAAGTTCTAACAACATATGTAACAATTTTATTCTTTTTGTCATATATTTGTAAGAGAGAAAGAGAGATAAAAGGAACCAAAACAAGCCAATTAATTTGAATGGTTGACTTTGTGTTAAAGACCATTGATCCTAGTGCAGCAACGAATTATGTGGAGGAGGATTCATCATGCAAATGCGGTGCCTTCTCTAGTTGAAGTATTTTCTATTAATATAGCTAAATTTGATAACTTCTTTCATGACTACTTGTTATGTGAAAAAAAAAAAGAAAAAATACAGGACCACTGTTGTGTGTTGTTCACCCATAATTTCGCTCTTTCATTCACAACAAACTCATAGTAAATCAAAATACATCCCACTTGCCCGCTGCGGGATTCAATTGTGTGGGACGACTTTATGACTTCATTGTATAAGTGGTGATAATTATGGCTTGTAATGTAAATCATGTGTGCGCAAAAATTATCTGATGATTCCAAACTCATTTTCGAGGACGACTATTAGCAACAACGAATATTCAAGTCATTAGTCAAATTCTTCCCAACTTTATCAGTATTGTCAATGTAGAATTTGAGTACTCAATACTTCAATTACTTTGTCATAGGTATTAGCGGATTACAACCTAGACATATGGTTTTTCTGTTAGTGGAAGGCCTCAATTCTAAAAACTTATCAAATGAGAGGGGATTCCTCCTTTTGATAGAGGACTTAAATATTCTTAAGACCCACAGCTAACAAACTAAACTAACTAACAAGCTTTAAATAACAACCCAACTAACTAAACGTCATATTAGACTACATCAGATTCTTGCCCACTAAGATAAAATTGTCAGGTGCCTCATAGGTGTAAATGTCGACGACATTGAATA